TGTTTATGTTGGGGCTCTTAATTTCTCTTTCATTTTTGAAAGATAGCTTTTCTAGACATAAAATTCTTGGTTAAAAGGTTTTTTTTTTACTTTCAGTACTCTGACTTTGTCATCCTATTGCTTTCTGGCCTTTATGGTTTCTGATGAGAAACCAGCTGTTAATTATGCTGAGGATCACCTGTGTACAATGAGTCACTTCTCTCTTTCTGTGTTTAATATTCTTTTATGACTTTGGCTTTTGATAGCTTAATTGTATGTTTAAGTATGGATCTCTTTTGGTTTATCTGACTTGGAGTTTATTAAGCTTCTTGGATGTTTAATGTTTTTCATCACATTTAGACATTTGGGGCATTATTTCTTCAAATATTCTTTCTGCTCCATTTCCTTCTCCTTTTCTTTTGCTTTCTTCTCTCCTTCAAGTATTGGTTAGTAATTTTCTTTTCTTATAAGGTATTTAACAATTTTGATAATTTGATATTAGAGTTACACTGCTCTCATAAAATAAATTGAGGGGTGTTTCCTCTCTCTCTATTTTCTGAAATAGTTTACATATGATTGATATTATTTCTTTGTTAGATGTTTAATAGAATCAGTAAAACCACTGGGCCTGGAGTATTCTTTGTGGGAAGGTTGTCTTTTTTTTTAATTGTGAATTCAATTTCTTTAATAGACAAAGAGCTATTAAAATTTTCTATTTCTTCTTCCATCAATTTTAGCAAGCTGTGTTTTTAAAGGAATTTGTACATTTATTTTAAGTTGTAGAATTAAATTATTGGCATGAATTTGTTAATAATATTCTTATTATCCTTTTAATACCTAAAACATCTGTAGAATGTCTTTTCTTTCATTCCTGATTTTAGTAATTTGTGTTTTCTCTTTTTTATTTATCAATTTTGCCAGATGTGTACCAATTTTATTAATATCTTCAAAGACCAAACTTTTTGCTTTTTCAAATTTGCTATTGTTTATTTATCATTTATTTCATTTATTTTTTCTCTACTACTGAATAGAGAAGTCCAGGTGATTCATTATGTATAACACCCTTCACGAAATTCCTGAATAACTATTGTTCTATCCTGTGCAATCACACCTGAGTTTGGCATATTGAATTCTTCTGAATTATTTATATATATATTTTTTTCTTTGTTTCAGGACATGAGACAGCAATGTGGTGTAGCAAAAAGTTCTCTGATCTTGGATTCAACATTCTAAAACTGTTTTATAACCTCTTTATTTTCAATTTTATTTTATGTAAAATGTTGATATTAATAATAATTACATATAATTTATGTGAAGTGTCTATATAACATAGTAGATGCTCTATGATGGTTAACCTCAGACACCATAAAAGTTCCTCATTGTCTATGTAGACCATTGACCAGTAGCTATTATTTAACATATAGCCTGATTATACACACTTCAGGTATGTCTCATCTGGGATATAAATAATTCCAAAAGGCGAAAGCTTCCAAATGTATTTATAAATATTCACTAGTGCTTATCTTTCTCTAAATGTCATCTGAAGGATGCTAAAGACAACCAGACTGAGAGTTTAATAAACATCAGCCTACAGTTTAAAATTAAATTTTGTCTTCCTTTTGTTTACTTTGTTGTAAGAATCTCTTGCATCAGGAAAATCTGTTTGCTGCAAGCTGGATGTATTAGTGAGCTTTTCACCCCCAACTTTGTGCCACAAAACGATAACTACTTATTTAACTCAACTCTGGTTTAGCACTTAAGGTTAATTTCAGACAGGTGTTCCTTGATTTCAGTCTTGGTTTTCAGCCAGCTGTTGGGCAGCTAAGTAAGTCTGATCCTGGAGTTTGGTGACTTGATTGGAAACATGAGTGAGACTGTGCTACTTGTTTCTCACCTTTTAGCAGAATGACTCAGGCTTGTTCATGTGGTAGCTCCAGATTCTAGTAACAGTAAGAGGACAAGTTTCAATATGGAAGTGATTTCCAAGTCTCTGCTTGTATCACATTTGCTTCTGCCTCATTGGTGAAAGTGGGTCACTTGGACAACTCTGATTTAAAAGGAGGAGAGAACAGATGCCACCATTCGATAGGAGTGAGCTACAAAGCATTATGGAGATCTTTGTCATATACCACATTAGCTCTGGGATCTGGGTGCAGTAGAAGGGAAATGAGGCTGAGAAGGAGGCGTTTCTCATCAACATCTCCAGGAAGCTAGCAAAGGCATGTCCTGCATCAGAAGGATGGTTGGGACAACTCCTGTGTCACCATCCAGCTAGTGCTTTAATCTGTGAAGAGCTTTCTTGGCAAATCAACAAATACATTCTGTTTAGAGACTGCTAGAAAAATATTTGATTCTCCAGATAGCAGAAATATAAACTTTTCTTTGTTATCTTTACCCTGTTCCTTTCCTCTTTCCTCTGACCACCCTTCTTCCTACCCCATTTGATGTGCTTTACAAAAGCCTGCCACTGACTGTCCTGGCTTTCATCCCTGTGAATGATTAGGAAGAGTGCCAAATGCCTACTGATTTATCTGAAATGGGGTGTAAGGCTCATAAGCCCAAAAATAAGATCAAAGAGAACTAACAGTCCAGGCTAAATTATAAAATCCAGTTTCAGAGCCTTTCAAGTTGAGCCCACAGCATATGTGCAAGCGCACATACTTGAATGCACAGCACACCTCTGCCCATGAGCACCTCTAAATACCGTAAATGAAACACACAGAGATTGATTTCAGCAAATATACTGTATAGGATGGGAGGAGAGGCAGGAGGGAAGGAAAGGGAGAAGATATTTTCTCTAATACCACAGCATCTCACAGAGACACTATACTAGCTCTCTTGTTAGATTGTGTGCTTACTCTCCCAATATTTATTTTCAATATTATCTCACCAGAATAAGTTGTATCAGTTGGCTATTGCTGTGTAACAAGCCACGCAAAAGCCAGTGGCTTAAAGCAAACAAACAAAAATTGCCGTGTATCATGAGTCTACAGGTTGTAGGGGCAGTTCTGTTTATCTGATCCATCCTCAGCTAAGCTTGCCTGGGCTCACTCATGGATTTGCCATCACCTGGAGAACAGAATTAGCCTAGGATGGCCTTGGCTGGAGAAACTTGGCCTTCCTCTGTGTGTCTCTCACATTCCTACGGCAGGTTAGCCCAGGGATATCCCCATGTTTATGGCAGAGGTACAAGAGTGACAAGAAAACAAACAGCAACTCACAAGTGTTTTTTAACACTCTGTTGGTGCCTAGTTTGCTAACCTCTGTCTGCCAAAGCAAGCCACAGAGCTGAGCTCAGAGGGAAAGGGTCAGTCAGAGCATCTTACTCCAAACGATTATATCATGGTAAAAACTGGAGACATCAATCCAATTAATTTGCCATCCTAGTTGTGCCACTACCCATCTAATTATATTTTCCCATCATTGACTTATTGAATCCATAATCTAAATCTTACCCTTCATGGTATAATTCACCCCAGCCTTATGGCAGGGCTACCGCAGAGGTGATGAAAACGTTTACCCAGAGACCAGAAGATAGGCTTCTAGCACTCCTTCACCTCCAGGTTCTTGCATTCTGATTTAGGTTCCAAGGGAAGAGAGTCGGGAGCTGAATGGGAAACTGGTCTCGTAGGGAATCAGTTCCTGGTGCTCAGTATACACTTTTAGAACTAGCAACGTCGTACTCCCACAGCCCCGCATAACCTCCCTCCTCGTCCTTCTCCTAGGCCCTCCTCTTCTGTTTTTCTCGGGCTTCTCTGCTCAGTTCTCCAACTAAATTACCACTCCTTTCCCCTCCCTAAACTTTTCCTAGTGGAATATCATCCCTGAGAAATATCTATCCTACCTTGACCTTCAAGGGTCTGAGCTCTTTCATTTTTCCAGAAACTCCCAGGAAAAGCCCTCTTCCAGAAAGTCTTTCCCCTAGGATGATATGAAAAATAAAAGGTAAAAGATGTTCCCTGTTCTTCCCTATCTAAATATACTACTTTTTGATGCTTTATCCAGCCAAAACCTAAGCCACTGACTTAGACTGAGTGTAAATAATTTTGCCAGTTTGCACATATATAACTTGAGCTATACTACTGTCTGTCCTTTGTGTGCTGACATTTGGGGGCCCTGAGGCTTTTAGGAACCTACGACCTCAAGAGAAAACTATTCTCTTGGACAATGTAGATGAATCCATGCTGGGTGGCTTTGGGAGCTGCCATACACCATGAGATAATTTCTGCTTCTCCTGTAAACTCTAATTATGATTTCCCACGCATAGTTGCTGCTGCTAGCTGTCCGGCACTTTTCTGGTCTCTACTGCATGTCACCTGTTGTCTCAGAGGACAATCAGACTTACCAGATCAGGAACGGATGATCACCAAGGCCGATTTGCCCCAGGCAAAATGTTAGGCAGCAGGAGGCCTTCCAGGGACGTAGCAGGCTCAGTGTTTTCTTTTCAGCATGTGTTTTATCTAGTATTTCAATGAGGATTTATGTGGTGTGGATACGGGATGGGAATAGGGCAGTCTCTAAGAGGGGTGATGATGGACGGAAGGAAGTATCAAGATCCGTGGGCTTCCGCGGGCTCCGCCGTATGGAAGATAATGGCCATCTGTTCTCCAAGTCCACTGAGAAATGAGTAAGGGAACACTGGTTAATAATGGGGCAAAGGAGATTCAGGGCACACAATGAATTTCACAGCTGACAAGCCCCCTGGACACTGGGACCATTGACCAAGTGCTCTGTGAGTGCAGTGACATGCCCTTCTCGAGGCCGTCCGACACATCTGTGGGGCAGAATATGAATGTGCTGCTGCCGGGGCGGGAAGAATGGACAAACTGATGGCTGGGTTTCCGCATTCCAGCCTGGCCATATTTATTTTAAATCCCATTTCTGCCCTGAGGAGGCCGTCTAGAAGATTTCCCACCAAGATTTTGAAGCTGTCTTTCTCTTTTTACTTAATCCTCCTGAAAAAGGAGAATAGCAAAGGAAAAAAAATAAAAAGTGTGATTTTTTTTTTTTTTTTTTTACAGAAAACGGCACGTGGCTCACACTTCAGTTATCTGCATGAACACCATGGATTTAATGGCATGAACATTTACATTGGTAAGGAACAGCTATCACGGTTCTTTCTCCTCACAAAATGTGTGTGGCATGGGGACTTCGGATTTTTCCCTTGACACGTTTTAATGTTAACCTAAGAAAATGAGTTTAAAGAGATTTAATTCAGAATCCTAGACTAGAATGACTTGAAAGCATCTTGAAAACCATCTGGTGGGTAAGGAAACGGAGTCGCAGAGAGGCAGAACAAAGTGAGGGTCACAAGAGTGGTCCAAGGTCGGTGGAAAGGCATGAAAAACCAAAGAAGAAAGGGCAGTGGAGAAGTCCTGGACTCCTGGGAAGAGAGCTAAAATGCTGCCTTTAAAGGAATAAAAGGATGAAATGATTCCAGTGCCTGGCAGTGACTTGCAAAAACTGGGAACGTAGTTTTCCGAGAAAATATGCAAGGGGGATAGGGAAGGAGTGATGGAAGCAATTGAATCATATGCACTTAAAATCGGCAGGCGCCATCTCACTGGTCAATGCATGCCCAAGCATCTGTGTTCTTTTGGGAACTGGTCACGTTCATAAACTTGTAGATATTTAAACAGTTCAGTTACATTAGAAGCACATTTAACTCCCATGCTGAGTGAAAAAGTAACTGTCGTATTTACTAAGAGACAACATACTGGTCTCCAATGTAGAAACTTTCCAGAGGATTTTCTGTGCTAATTTTACTTCTCCCTCCCTCGCTCCCTCCCTCCCTTCCTTCCTTCCTTTCTCTTTGTAACAGCAAAAATTTTAAACTCAACTTCTTAAATCCTGTATAAGATGTGATCCTACTCTAACAGCAATTTCTCCGACTGAACTGATTGCTAAATAGCCAACATCAAGATAAAGAATCTCTGTTTGCCAAAGATGTTCAAAGGGCTACATGACAAAATTAGTCAGTGCTGACTGGCTTTCTGAGTTGTATTAGACAGTAACGAGCCCATCGCCTAATGAGGAAGGCCAGCCCCTCCCTGGAGGGCGGCCGCAGCACGGACAGCCCGTGTTCAGGCGCGCACATACGTGTCTCCCATGCGTGTCTCCAGCACAGGGTGGCTGGGGAGTTCAGAGATCTGACTTCTGGGCCACACCTAACCCTCCACCCCCTGAACGATTCAGAAAAACAATCTACTCAAGCAAGTGCTTCTCTTTGCCTAATTACTAACAAAAATCTCAAAGCATTTTGAAAAAAGTCCTAGCTGATGATTGGACACCTTCTATCACTGGCCTCTGTCGGGTCCATTCAACTTCTGTTTCCTAGGAATCTGGATGTTTTCAAGGTCGGAGGGCCAAGCAAAACCAGAGGTGGTGCAGGCTACTGGTCAGGCACAGGCTCTGGAATCAGACCTTTTTTTGATCACTTACTAGCTGTGCTACCATAAGCGAATTTTTATGCCTGTTAAGCTTGTTTCCTCAATGTAACCTGGATGGCTAATTCGTCTTCAGAGATGCGGTGTATGTTTTAATTAACCACTTCGGTACGAGTGTTGACTGTAGTCGACAGACACAGATGAACGCACACAACCGAGTGTTGACTTTAGTCTATGATTTTGAATTGACTTTTCTAATTTTTCATTTATCAAAATAAAATTGTGAACATTTAAATATAACGTAATAAAAACATATATGTATATGTTACCTATTCTGATTCACATTACAAATAAAGCTGCCTGTAAAGTAAAACAAGCTTTCAGTGCTTTCAAGCTTTCCTCGTCACACAAGAACAAAACGGATTCGTCGTCAATGCGCAGCACAAACTATCCTACAGACTGTGAGCGCCGGCTGTGGGCAAGGCTTCCCGGGCAGTGAGCGCTGTACCAAAGTGGTTAAGATCTTCTTTAGAAAGTGCTTCAGATAAAGCCTGGCACATCGTAAATGTTCAGAAAATGGTTGTTATTTATAGTGATGCTCAATTGATTTTCAAATAGAGGAGGTATATTATTTCATATGCTCCCCTTCTGTGCACTTGATAGAGAAATCTTTTAAAACATGATTCGGCTCTTATCAGAATCTTCAGCCTTTGGCTGAGACCTCTCCAATGATTCCATCTCACTCAGAGTAAAAATCAAAATCTGTACCAAGGTCCTTTGCCCTATCTCACTCCCCTGACTACACCTCTCAGCACCTCACCTGGAATCCCTGCACACTGCCACCTTGACCTCATTGCCCTGGGTCCTTCTCCTCTGCCTGCAACAGTTCCCCAGGTGTCTCCATGTCCAGTCTCCACAGTCCTCTCGGAAAGCAATTGAGAAGTTTCATTATCAGTGAGATCATTAATCAGCCCATATGAAATAATAAGACCTCCATATTCTAGCATGCTTTGCCCCTTCATCTTTCTCCAAATCACCCATTACCATCTAGCATATCTTAACTACTTTGTCTCTAGTAACTCCTCAACTTGAAAGTAACTCTATCATTCACTGCAGTATTTCAGTGCCTTGAACAGGCCTAATATGTTCTAGGCACTGCATATATAATTTCTGAAAGAAGCAATGGATCATTTTTTTAGTAGGAGTGTGGTCAATCTTTTCCTCAAGGCTTTGATAGGCTCATGTACGACTTACTCTGAGTTGACAATCCCCTCCTCCCACTGCTGCCCCACACTTGTAGTCACTCAAAGTACTAGAAACCCAAGAGAAAGAAGGTGGGGCCACCTGGTCTAGCAGCAGGTTGGGGAGAGGAAGGCTGTCTTACAGCTGTCACCTAGACTCCCTGCCACCTGGGACTTTACCCTCATTCACCAGTTTACCATACCAGACTCTTCACTAGTCCCCATGTGCCACGTGTCCTTGCTGCATTCAACCCTGTGTGTAGCTTTCAGATTGTTTTCATCTCGTTCCTCGGAGACATGCGCTCTTTCCTGGCTTCAGTCCAGATCTCATGCTGTGTTCGTGAACCTCCTAGATCTTGCCCCTCTCTCCCATTCGGAGCCGGCTTTGGCGTGGCACAGACTCAGCCCGGATGCAGGCCCGGGCCCAGTGCTGTGTGCATCCCTACTTCCCTGATTTTGTTCCTTCTATTCTTCCAGAATGCTCTCTCCATTGCTTCTGCCAATTTAAATCCACTGCAGGTCTCAACGATCAACCCAAATCACACATCACGTAAGGAGGGTCTCCCCACCCATGAATACGCGCTGTACCAATATTTTCTTGCTCTTCAAACTTCTCTACCTGAAGTTGCCTCCACAGTTCAGCCTGTAGCTAGTCTCTAATTGTGTCACATAATAACAGTAATAACTGCAGCTACAAGTACCATTTATTCAACTATTATATTCTAGACGTGTATGTTTCTATTTTACCATGCATATTAATCCTGCAGGGTATGAATCTTTATCTCTATCTTGTAGATTAAAAAACTAAAGCTTGTAGAGCTTAAGTAGCTTGTCCCAAATCATATGGTAGTACATAATAGAGCCAAGAGTATGTTGTCTTTTTCCCCCTCATATACTTGGTAAACTCTCTGGAGATTTAGCATAGTATGTGCATTCAGTAGGCACTCAATGAATACTGGCTGGTTGATTGAACAGCATGGAGGATGAAGCTTGATTCAAACATTCCCCAATGACGCTCAGCCATGCAGGAACAATGAGGAAGGGCATACAGACTCGCCCAGGCCCCTCCTCCCCTCTCCTCTGCACAGTGGAGCTAATGAGTACAGAACAGTGGGGTCAAGGCGGTTTCAGGCCTCAAAGAGGGGGCGTGTTCTCCAGGCCCTGCACGTGTCCTTGCTTCCCCATCCCAGCGGCCAGGCAGCTGCAGCGCTGCCACCTCAGGTGGAGCATTTTCCAGGCAGCCCCGGCTTGCTGAAGGTGCCAGAATCATACTCCGGACTCCAGGATGGGAGACCTAAGACACACATCTGACCAAAAGGAAAGCAGGACGGAACACGCCAGAGCATGGCAGAGCTTCCCCGCCCTAGCAGGCTTTAACCCCATGTCCTGAGTCTGGGCACCTGGTAGCTCCCTTTCCCCCAGCTACCAGGTGCCAGGCGCCCTGCAAGACACTTCACACACACACCACCGCCTTTCAAAATCCTCACCCAAACCCTGCTGAGCCCACTGGCTCATCTGAGAAATAGGAATATTAGGTAGCCTCGCACTCCAAGTCACCCGGAATGGAAGGAAGATTCTAATACAGGCCTGTGTGTAAGACCAGGCTTTCCACCACGCCACGCTGTCTGCCTGTGCCGGGGGCCAAGACAGTGGGCTTCTCCATTCCCGCTCAGCACACCCCTCATCCTGGGAGTCCTCAGTGCTCCCTCTATAAAATGCACATGCAAACCGTACCCCCCGCACCTCTAGTCCCTTTCTACTTCAGAGATTACTTTGGGAACTATGTGTGCAACAATTTGCAAATGCATTTGAGAACAAGACAGGAGAAAACTTAATGCTAATTTTATGTTTATGTAGCTACACATTTACATCTTATTCCCTCAACTACCCTAAAATTCTGGAGACACGTTTATGCTTTCCATAACCACACCCCGCCCCCTACATGTCCCACGCAGCTAGAGGAATGCAGGAAGTGCTCAGAAAATGGGAGGTGTCGCATGCTCACAATCTGGCAGTACAGTTGGGGTCTCTTAGACCAACCCTTTGTCCATGGACAGCAGATCTCAGAGGGGCACAGAGCAGAGGGCTGGTGTCAGGGTCGTTGGCTGCTGTTTAATGGCACAGGATTCTGTACAATCACATTCGTCTGTACAGAGTTTTCCAGACAACAAAAGCTGCAGTGTACAGGGATGTGGCTAATATCAGGTGTGGGCTAGTTTCTTGCTCTGGGCCAGTTGAAGCTTTCATTTTATAAATTTTTATATTCTTTTCTGATATGCTTACAATATTTTATAAAATAGTACCAGTTAAGATGTCCAAGGAAATATTGGTAAGGCAGCCTAGTAAAACCAGACACCCTGACCTTTTTAGTTTTAAGTTTCAAGGTACCTTGGCCTGAAAGGGAACTTGAAAGTCAAGATTCATCAGGATCTGCCATGGTGATACTCACATGCGGAACACTTCTAGTAGAAGGCATCTCTACATTACTTTGTGGTTTGCTCTCTTCCAGAACCCTGCGTGCCAGGCAGGGCATGGATTACCTCTACTTGACAGATAAATATTCAAAGGCCCAGACCATGAAGTAGCCACAGTGGAGCCTCTGTCCCAATTTCCATCCTGGATTGTCAGGTGGGGAAGGCACAGGGCAGGTGGGGTACAGGGTGGAGGGCAGTCAGGGAAGGTGGGTGGGATGGTCCTGCGGTGTGAGAGCTGCTGGCCAGGCAGGACTCCTCCTCCTCTCTCCCCAGTGCCCTGGGACCTCTTTGTCGCAGTCGGCTTGCTTGCTTTGAGCTCAGCACAGAAGGCCACCACCTGCTTCCAAGTTGGCCGCTTGCTGGTGGGAACCGGGTGCCAGAGTTTTCTGCTGGGGACTGCTCTTTCCTAGCATTCTCCTGGGGTATCAGATTTTCTCAGCTTGTTCTTAAACTCTCGGTACTCACTGACCCTTTCTCAGGTCATGGCAAGTGAGTTCACCGAGGTCTCCGATGTCAGCTTGCCTGTGCATCTCTCTGGGTGGGGGGAAGCTTCTCCTCTGTAGAGTGTCCACCTCAACCCTGGAAAAGACACTCAATCCAGACCCTCCAGTATCCTTCCTAACACCCTCTTGCTGCCCCCGTGCTTAAATACTGGATCTCATCAAAATTCACCATGCCATGAGACCCCGGTTCTGTTACCGAATGGGTTTGTAGGTTGATTAAGCCCATACCCACACCCCCCTCTGTTTTATAGCCAAAGTATCAGAGACTCGAGGAGAGTGAGGAATTCCAGTCGGTGGTAGATCTAGCAGTGAAGCCTCATCTCTAGGCTCACCTCCTTCCAGTTCCCAGCATGTGCCTTTTGCTCCCACACTCCTAGTGAAGACAGCTGGTGTGGTCTGGGGCTCATATTCCAATGCCTTTGTGCATTTCCCCCTCCGCCTTGCAATGTCCTTCCCCTGTCTTCCTCTAAGAAAATGCCTGCTTAAAAATTAGTTTGGCATCACAGCTTTTCTGAAGCCTCCATCTACTGAGGGAATCAGATAAGCTTCTCTAGCTTTTTAGTATGCAGTTTTTCATTGCGCATATAACATTTTATGACATTGCAGTTTGGGAAGCCTTGCCTTGTTTTTCTCACCTTGAAGGCAGAATTTGCATCCTATTTTCTCTTCTTTTATGTCCCCCTACTGTGTCTAGGTCAAAGTTGTGCTAATGTTAGGACCTCTACACGTGATGCTATCCGACCAGCTGGCTGGGGAGGCAGAGGGACGGCACTTCCCAGTATTCAGGGGACTATCCATCAAAGGAAGTGAAGTGGCTCATAACCAAAGCCTTCACCACTGTCCTATTAAGAATATCCTATTATTATAACTACTAACCTCAGAAGTCAACACAAAACAACTAGAAGTGACATAAAAACATATTATTGAAGTGTGGCTTCTATCAATTAAGAAATTTAATAATGCCTATTTGTTACAGTATAAATATACCTATGTTGTATAATATTAATAACAATAACTGATATTTACTGGCCTCATTCTAAGCAACTCATGGGTGTTATTTCATTGAATTTTTGCAACTGCCTTG